TTTATTTCATATTTCTGTCTTTTTAGCCGTGCCAAAAATTCTATCACTATGTGTTAATAATTATAATAAAAAACACTTCACAAAAAGGAACACTAAAAAACCCCACATATACTGCAACGGTTCATTTTTGCAAAAACTCTTGTAGTAGAGGGCACATGGGCATGTGTTGCATATGTGAACTTATTGGTAAAAGTTTAAGTGTTAATACTGGTTACATTTGAATGATGAGACTAAGGGCAGTGTTTAATGTTTTTAAACATTTCTAATTTTTTTTATAATTCAAGATTAACCAGCCTTTTGCTTCTCATGAATAAGTGGTCATCCCAGATTCCCAATGTACCATCATTTTATCTGTTGCTCTTTGTCTGTCCCTCTGTCTGTCTGTCTCTTTCCACTATAAGCTGTAACAACAACTAGGAGACTGGGGCTCATTGCAGGAGTCTCTGATAATTGGTGCCCTGAGCCCACAGCATTCTTGCCTGCCTGCTGATTTACTAGGAGTGTTTCAATGGCTTTCAGATCTCAAACAACGATGCTGGAGATACCAGTGATGAGCTAAGACAATGTAACATCATAATGCTGCCCTTCTGGGATGTGTGACCATAGAATGAGAAATATCCCAGCCCTGTGGTAGAGCCTGCTCTTGTCAGGCCCTCCAGTGTGAGCATTCTTGAGGATGACCATGGAGAAAAGCCTGACACTGCAAGTACTGAGATCCACACAAGTTACAAAATCCATGACATACAGACAATTAAAGAAGATGATGTAGGAAACTCACATCCTGGTAATGTGACAGGACCTCCCAGAAACTCCTGAGAATATGTTTGTTGTTATGATGGACATCATAGTCTGTATGCTGTTTCAACTGCTTCAATTAGAAAAAACAAAATGGCGGATGGATATACTGGGGATCACAAATTCACAGTGGCTAGTTTTACATAATTCCCTAAGGAATAAATGGAGGCTTGGGATTTTCAGTATCACCCTTTTGAGATTTCCCATTATTCCACTGGGAGTGGGCCATCGTCTGCCACCTACTACAACTAAGACTAAAACTAAAGATGCTACAGGGCAAGATCCTCATCTGCTTAAGACCATCACTACCCTCGGAGTCATCTTGTTGCAGGCAGTTTAGTTAGAAATATTTTAGGCAGTCAGACAGGGCTGACTGCCTATAAAAGGAGCCAGTAGAGATACCTGGCAACTTCGGGGGAAACTGATACCTCCTGCTGTGGTCCAGGCCTCAAGACAAAAGACCAAACAAATACATCCTAAGGACTGATATTCTAAATAGTTCCCAATTACCCTGAGGAAGCTTGGAGTCACCATCCCATACTCCTAGGGAAGAATCACTGCTCCTTAAGAATGCCCACCGCCTTCTATGTGACTTGCTACCCCATTTGTCTGTAATGTAATCAATTTTACCTGAGCTATTAATCTTATTGGCTAACCATAGTTCTGTTCCACCTTATGCCTATCTGCCTTGTGAGTTCCCAGTCTTCCCAGTCTTGAACCCTTCTCACCCCATGATTTTGCTCTATAAAAGTCCCTAGAAAAGATTAAGAGTCCTTAGCAACCAGCTCAGAATCCCTTTTGTCTCTCAGATGGAAGCTTTCTTTCTTTCAATAAATATATTCTACTCTTAACCTCCACTGTTTCTAAAATTCATTCTTTGATTTTAGAGAACGTGAACTTGTGGACACGGTAGATTGGGAGTTTCATTCTGCTATATCAATCTGACAATCCCTTCCTCAATCAATAAATGCTGAATTCTGGCTGCCTTGTGGCCTTTTGTTTCTCATGAACAACTGGTCATCCTGGATGGCCACTATACCACCGAAAAAACCAAAACCAAAACAAAACAAAAACCTGACCACCTCAAAATGTTCTGCTTTTGTTAAATGAAAAAATACTATTAAAAATACTGACATATTTCATCAACTCAAGATTAAGACTCGAGGAGTTTAGAGATGTTAACTATAGCTGATGGCTTTCTCTTCTAAATTCAAGCAAGTTATTTCCCCCTAATTCAGTATTTATCAAAAATAAATCTAAAATTTATTTCATTACCTGAAAAGCTTGTGAAGGTATAAAGCCTGGATTAGAAATAACATGAAGCGTACATCTGTAATTCTCGCGCTCAGGAGGCTGAGGCAAGAGGATCAAGGGGAGTTTGAGGCTGGTCTAGCTTACATAGTGAGTTCAAGGCTAGCTATAATACACAGCAAGACTCAAAGAATAAACAAACAAAAAGATGTAACATGAAGATCTGAAGGGAAAGGGGATGAAAAAAAGAGTTAAGATGTATTATATATACACACCAACTCCCAACAAGGCATGTAATCATTATGTACTACAAGTATATACTACTGGAAAAAAAAAAAAAAAAGAGTAGCCAAACTACCATCTATGCTAAACACTCGCCTTGCATTGCCTCATTAGAAAGCCTTGTAACAGTTCTTTTTCTCACATCCTGGAAATAAAGAGTAAAACAGAAGACAGATAAAAAGAAGAAAGAAGTTAAAATAATTTCCCAAATTATCTATTCTTAACATACACTAATTTGTTTCATTTATACTACTAGTGTCTCATTTCACTGCAAAGAAAGGTTTGTACTATTATCTGTTTTTTGGAGGTCTTTTCTGTCTTGTACTTTGTGTAACTACTTTTAAGATTATGACATAGTGTTGATTATTGTAATTTTGCTTTATGAAATTTTTACATTTTCATAAAATAAAAACAAAGTACATGCATGCACTCACACATATGCACACATTACAATCCTGCTAGGTAGGTATTAATGTTCTCAGACTTGAGGTGTGAATATTTTAAGGTAAAGAAACTTGCCAAGTTCATGGAGCTGCTATGCGAGAAATCTTGAGTTGAACAGAGGTTGAGTTGAAAAATATGCTTTAGGCTTAATTACCTAGCAAGTCTCTCAATGCCACTCATCTTCTACATGGTTATCTTATCATTCTTATCTAAATTGTGAGAAAGAAAAAAAGAAGTTTGGGAGTTTTCACAAAGACTGTGGTAAATAGTCACAGAAGCAACATTTAAATGGCTTCTGCTCTTTGAAACTTGTCCTTTATATCTGTTCAATCTAAAAGGCCCAAGCTCAAAATGCTTGTGTGGGTGGTCACAGGAGGCAGAAAGTGAGACAGTCCACCAAATGTAGGTGAGGCCACCACAGAATAAGACAGGACACTTGTGCAGGGTAAGGGACAATGGACAACATCTTGGTGGAAAGAAGCTAGTCTGAAGGAAGCATTTGAAGATAACTAAGAGAAGGGTCTAGGCAAGAGAACGAACTCAGAAGAAATGCAATTGTGAAAGGGGCTGGGGATTTAACTCAGCGGCATAAGCGCCTGCCTTGCAAGCAGGCAGTCGTGAGTTCGATCCCTGGTACCGATGAATAATGAAAAAGACAAAAAAACAAATGCAATTGTGAGTTATTCCCCAGGGATTTTTTTCTTTTATCTTTTTTTTTCTATATATACTGTTTTCTCTGATGATCTTGGTCAGTATTAGGTCTTTAATACTCTTTTATATTTGGATAATTACTAAATCCCTCCAGCCCTGACCTTTCTCCAAGGTTAACACCCCACTGAACAGCCTGCCAGTTGGCTACATTCACCTACACACTCTAAATCTAAATCACCCTCAGCACTCTAAATCCAGCAGGTCCAGTAGTATTTCCTCTTCACTGAGCAATGAAACTCCACAGGAACTATTCTCTCTCTGCTGTTCCTAGAATCAGTCTTTCATCCAATAATTATTATAGATCTATTATCTACCACACACTGCCACAGCACTAGGTACCTCCATTCACTCACAAAGTTGGATGATTCCTCCCATGAAAAATATGTCTGCCCACCTCATCAGCTGCTCAATTCTTTTCTGAGATGTACTCAGAATCTTTGTTTCAACCATGGCAACACAGCACGCTGGATTAATTGGTCTTGCATAGCATTCATTCTGTAATGATCACTTAACACTTAGCACTGTAACTGCCACAAAGGAGGAAGAGGAAGCTCAGAAATTGCAAACTTTCTAGTAAGGAAAACAGAAGCAAATTAGATTTGTCTTGATGGGAATATGTGTATATGAAACATTTTCCTTAAACTGTAAAATCTTACAGGCATAACATCAGCTTGTAACGTTTTTGGGGAATAGCTCCAGGAGGCTGGGAGGACATTGCTAGAGGTTTTCTAATAGAAAGCTGTTCATTCCTCACCCCCTTGGGGAGGTAATCAAGAACGTGTTGAATATATCACCTTCTATGACAGAGGCCATGAATGTTGCATTCTTTATTGTATCTGCAGCCCCTAGACTATATGGCCTATAGTATAGCAAGAATTCACTAAATATTTAAAGCATTCTGGAAAGGCTCGGAGCATAAATATTGTTATTCATCACTTGGGGACAGATAAAGATGATGGGGTCTGAAGTAAAAAGAAATACTACCAGTTCCCTGCCCTGGCCCCAGTCCTTCTGGGCCTGGTACACGGTAGCTGTTTGCTGAGTGAAACAAACAGTCCTCCTCCACAACTCCAAAACGAGGCCCTCAGCTCCGCAGCCAGGCCCTTCAGCGCGCCCACCACCAGGCCCGAGCGCGCGCTTCCCTCCCTCGGGGGCTGCGCTCTGGCTGCCTCCCCGTACACCTCCGTGCCCTCCACGCGCCGAACAATTACGCGCTCCGGCGGCTCCGCCTCAAGGGCCGGCTCACGGCTGCGGCCTGGCCCGGACCCCCACCCGTTCTGGCCCCGCGGGCGCCCCCTGGTCCCGCAACGTTCGCTGCTGGCCTGGCTGCCCGGCCCGGCACCGCCGTGCTCCTCTCAGCCGAAGGCGGGAAGCTGCCGCAGCTGTGAGGCGCGAAACGGCGGCGGCGGCGGAAGCCCGGGGGCTGCGGGCCCGGCCCCGGGCGCGTCGAGGCGGGGCCTTGCTGAGGCGACGCTCTGGCCGTAGCGGGGCTCGGCGAGCAGCGGCTCCTCACTCACCACGGTCCGTCGGGGCAATGCGCCGGGGGTCCGCGACAGGGCCCGGCGGAGTCTTCGTGTCCGGCCCGAGCGGGTAACCCCCGAGCTCTCTGAACCGCTGTCGTCTGAAATCACGATGAAGTCCTCCATGGCTGCAAGTACCGCCCGAGCTAGACCCTAGGGGGCCGGCGACCCGGGGGGGGGCGGTGGCAACGGCGACTTCGGTTCCTGTCACAGAAGGGGCTGCGGCGGCGGCGGCTGCGGCGACAGCCCGGGCCATCACTCGGCCGACCCCGCCCCGTCTCGCCACGGCCCCGCCCCTTGGCTCCGGCCACGCCCACTTCCTCGAGCCCCAGCCCCTTGGTGGCCCCCAGCGGGCTGCCCAGTTAGGTCTTTGAGAGCTTGAGAGAGAAAGAGGGGTGGGAGGATAGAGGGGGAGAGATGGAGAAAGGGAGAGATGGGAGAGATAGATAATGAGGGTGGGGGTGTAGGGAGAGGTGAGAGGGAGGGATGCGACGAGTTGCGCCATGATTGGGGCAGCCCGGCCAGGCGCTATGTGACCAGCTTCTGTCTCCTGCTGTGTGTGCTGGTCTCTCTGAAGAGAGGCTTGCCTGACTGACAAGGAGAAGGGCCCCTCGAAAATGGATGATTTGGCTCTGACTGACTTACTGATGGGTAGAGGATGCCCTGACTGAGGATTACCTGGGTCGGCACTGACAGGGTTAAGTGGGTGACCCAGACTCTTCCTGGGTAAGACCCAGTCTTACTGACTGACTTACTGATAGGGTAGAGGGGCTCTGAGTGGCTGAGGGGGTGACCTGGTCTCTTAGGAATGGATGGCAGGGATGGCTGGATGGCAGCTGACTGAACTGGCTTTGTACTGGGGTACGCAAGATAGATCACACTTCTCTGTGTATCTGTGCAGTGCATCTGTAGGACCAATTAGAAGCGGAATTATTGGATTTAAACAGAAATGGAAAGAGTTTTTCAGTGGTAGCTGGATGAGAAGATGAAAAAGTGCCCAAGGAAAAGCTCTGAGGTAGTAGAGGTTGTGAATAATTAGACCTCTCCTTACAATAAATGTGGTTAATTGGCTAAATCCTGCTGGTTAGGTTCCAATAACTTTATAAAATATAGTAACGTAGCCAAAAAAAAATGTGTTTATCAGAAGGGTATTTGTTCCTAAAGGAATGAATTTCAGGTGCTAAGCAATGTCTAGTACAGTGGCTCTTAAAGTGTAGGCTTATGAAAACATAGATCACTGTGCTTTCTTTTTCTTTTATAAAGTTGGTACATTTTAGGAATATATAATGATCATCTTATCTAGTAAATTTGTACCTGTACATGATATAACTTGATTCCTTTTTTCCCCTACCCATTCAACCCTTCTTCCCCTCCTTATTTACAAAAGCTTTGTTTCTATTTTTTCCTTCTTTTCTAATTTTTTCTTTTCCCTTCCTTTGCCCCTCTCCTTCCCTAATTCCTCTTCCCATTTGAACATTTCCTTCCTATTTCATAGTATCTATTATGTATTTTGGTCCTTATTTACACTTTCATTTTCTCCCAACAGAGAAACCACCTGACATTTAAACACATGTGTTTGATTTATTTACTTAAAAGTATGGTCTCAAGGTACACCCATTTACCAGAAATATCTTGTTTATCCTTCTTTACGGTTGAGTAGTACTCTCTTGTATAAAAAACCCACATCTTTACCCATTCATCCAGTAATGGGCATTTGGGTTATTCTAATATTTAGCTATTACAGACTGTTCTGCTATGAACATAATGTGCATACATCACTGTGGTATGGTGCTTTTGATTCTTTTGGGAAAATACCAAGAAGAGGAATAGCTGGGTCAAATGGAACCCTCTAGTTTTAGTTTTTGAGGAATCTCCACACTGATTTCCACAGTGGCTGTACCAGTCTCCATTCCACCACCTGGGGAAAGGGTTCCTTTTTCCCCACAGCCCTGCCAGCATTTGTTATTGGTTGATTCTTTGATAACAATCATTCTTTTTGTTGTGAAACAGAATCTGAGAGTTGTTTTAATTTGCATCTTTTGAATGTCCAGTAATGTTGAACATTTTAAAATATAGTTACTTGCCATTTCTACTTCTTCATCTGAGAAGTGTCTGTTCATTTCAGATGCCCATTTTTGGATTGGGTATTTAAATTTAGGAGGGTCTGATTTTTTCTTTTTTTTTTAGTTCTTTATGTGTTCTAGACACTAGCCCTTTGTCTGAGGAACAGTGGGCAAAATTTCTTTTGCCACACTGTGGGTTGTCTTCACACTGTTGGTGGTTTCTCTTGTTGTACAAAAGCTTTGTAATAAGATGAGATCTTATTACAGATTGATGACTCTTTGTGGTAGTTCAGACATACTGAATTTTTGGAGCAAGGCTCCAAAATTTGCATTTCTGACTAGTTCCTAGATAATGTTGTTGATGTTACTGGTTTGCTAACCCCCCTTAGCGTCCTTCACTGTTCCCTATCTCAGTCAGTAGTGGTACTACCAGCCAACACTTGCTCAAGTGAGAAACCTGACCATTGTGCTTGATTTTTACTTTTTCCTCATCAACTAGTCATATTTATTTTTTCTCCTAAATAGCTTTTGTATACATTCACTTCCTCTGCTGTGATTCTAGCCAAACTGAGATCACCTCTGGCCTAGTTTTGTAATAACTTGCTATCCAGTTTCCCTGAATCTACTCTTGTCCTCTTTTATTCTTTTGTATGCCCTCAACAAAAGTGATCTTTTTTAAAAGTATGTAATCATGTTCCCCTTTAATAAGTAATAACTGTACCGGGCTGGGGATATAGCTTAGTGGCACAGAACCTACATGGTTCTGGGGATATAGCTTAGTGGCACAAACCTCAGGCAAAGGCCTGAGTTTGATTCCTGACACCAAAAACAAGAACAAAACAAAACAAAAACCCAAAGCCCAAATAACCATACCTTAGTTAGCTCTAGGTGCTGTAACAAAAGACTGGCTCAAACAACATAAATTTATTTCCTACAGTCCTAGAGGCTGGGAAATGCAAGATAAAGGTGCTGGTTGAATCTGTTTCTGGGCAACTAGAGCTACCTAAGATATGGTTATTTGGGTTTTGCTGTGTTTTGTTTTTGTTTTTTTAGATTGTGTAAATATTTAGATATCGTAAATAATGATATATAGAAGTATGCATTTACTCAATAACTTGCTGTTGAACAGCTGTGCTACATTCAAAGGATATAATAACGAACAACATAGACTTGGTCCGTTACTCTAATTGTATTTAGAGTTTAAGAGGAAGATAAACAGTAAACCAGGATATACTTACTAGTATCTAGTTGGTTTAGAAGTCTCAATTTATGAATCAAAAATGCTTTATGTTTTCTTCAATAATTATTATCACTATTTCTAGAAATCCTCTTGCTAACTAGACAGTATTTTTAAATTTTTATTCATATATCTTTGTGGTATATAATGATACAGAGTATGCATATATAACAACATTCTTTTTTCATCTCCCTCCCCTGCCCTCCGTCTCCGTAGAGAGTGTATTAAGAACATTTTGCTTCCCTTATAATTTTTCAGTCTTTTTCAGTAATTAATAAAGTCTCATTCCAAATAATAAAACTGAATCTGGCTGAGTGTGCTGGAACACATCTGTAATCTTAGCTACTCATGAGGCTGAGGCAGGAGGATTCCAAGTTCAAAGCCAGCTTAGGTAACTTAATAGGAGCCTGTCTCAAACACTAAATAAATAAATAAGTAGGAACTGGGACTGCAGTTCAGTGGTAGAACATGTTCAAGGCCCTAAGTTCAGTTCTCACTCCCATTTTAAAAAATTTCTGTGGATGAAAAAAGATGTGGTATTTTTATACCACATTATACCAATTTTTAAGGCTTTTATAGGTAAATGGAGACAACTTGAGACTATCCTCATAAGTAAAATAAATCAGACTCACATTTGTAAATGTATATTGTAACTTTAGTGTAAAAAATAATAATAAAAACAGAGTAATATTCAAAATGTATAATAGATATTATAATAATGAAAGGGAAAGAAAGTGCTTGAAAGGAAAGACCAACTTGTGGAATACACATATAACTATATGTATGTTTAAGTGTGCAAGATAGATAACCATACTACTAAGTTTTTGATGGTTCATCAAACAGAATAGCTCGTGTTGTCATTGTTGGTTCATTTTTATGCTTTGATTTTGTAACTTGAACAACTACTTCAAAGATAACAATATGTAATATATCAACGGGTGGTGATTTCTTAATATTTTTTTGAAGTTCTGTATCATTTCTACCCTTCTTTCTGTTTTGATTTTTTTAAAAAATAAATTTAAAAAATAAATATAAAAAATTCTGATATGTTACAACATGAGTGAACCTTGAAAACTCTGTGACATGTGAAAAAGCCAGATGTAAAAAGGCAAGTATGTGTGACTCCACTTACATGAGATACTTAGAATAGAAAGAAGTTACCAGGGATTGGGGGAGCGGAGAAGAGAAGTTGTTCAATGCACAGTCTTTGAGATGATGAAAGTGTTGTGGAAATTGGTAATGGCAATGGTTGTCCAACATTGCAAGGATGCTGATGCCACTAAATCATACACTTAAGAATGGGTGTAATAGCAAATTTTGTTATGCTCATTTTTCTATGATAAAAAAGTAAACATTTTTCCTCCTCTTCAGTACTTCAGTGTTTATCCCCCTAGAACTTTGCCAATGACATAATTTTTAGCTTTTTTACAAAAGCTTATCTGCATTAGTACAGAGATTTAAAATCATTATTAGAGGTAAAAATGTCTAAGCAGTAGGCTTTCTACTTGATTAATAAAGATTTTTTTGGTGGCTAACATCTCTAAAAGGCTGGTTTTTCTTTCAGTTTTCTTTTTTTTAATACTTGCAGAGTCACTGCTAGCAGACATATTTCCTTGCTTTGTTTATGCTAAAACAGGTCCGCTGCTCTTGGAACATTCTGTCCTGCCTGCTGCATTCCAGGTATAATCTCCCAGTTTCAGGACACTCCTGACTTTTCTGCTGGATTGTTTAGCAGGCATGGTCTCAGTTAAAACAACTTTATTTAAATTGCTTTCTTATCTCTTGCCTACTTTCTGCCTGCTTCCATCTAGATTTCTGGGATATCAAGTAGATGTCAAAGTCTATAAAAATTTTTTTAGTGGCTTATGTTCCAAGATGATAACATCCTCACTTGAGAAAATTAAAATTTCTGAGAATGGTTAAAAAGCAGAATGTATAACCCTCATCACACTGATGACATCTCTTCAGATATTTGCAGATAGATGGTCAGTACTCACATGTGCAAACACAATTTTACATAAATACATCATACTATGCATATTGTATTGCAATTGACTGTCTTAATATGTCATGGTCTTATGTGTGAGTGAATATATTATGCATTTTATTGGTTCATACAAATATTTAAAAATACTTTGGTGTTTGCACTTCT